CTTGTAAGCAAATTCTTTGTAAAAATATTCTTTTTTTTTTCAACTAAGCCATCAGTATATATCCTAGGTTGCACTATGTCGTCTACGTATTCCTATAATATTGTAAGAGTCATGTCTATCTTATGTTCAGGTATGCTCGGGAAAGTTTTAGTTGTCTTGTTGATTGCAGGTTTGGCATGGGCATTCCCAGCCCTCCAACCTCCACCTCCCAGAATCTGTGGTTCTCCTGATGGTCCAACAGTTACCGGACCTAGAATCAAACTTAGGGATGGAAGACATCTGGCTTATAAGGAGCATGGTGTATCCAAAGAAACGGCCAAATATAAGGTCGTATATGCACATAGCTTTAGTGCTACCAAATATGATTCAGCTGTTGCACCCTTGGTATGTCATCAACTCTTTGTCAAACTTGTTCTTATGCATCCTTTTTGAGTATAATTGACCTGAGATTATAACGGCTTATCGATGTTTCTTTCAGGAAACACTTGAAGAATTAGGGGCATATGTTGTCTCTTTTGATAGACCTGGTTATGGGGAAAGCGATCCACATCCAAAACGAACCATACAAACTACAGCTTTGGATATGGAAGAGCTTGCTGATCAACTCGGACTTGGCCCTAAATTTTATGTTATGGGGTATTCCATGGGTGGTCATTCAGTTTGGGGTTGCCTTAAGTACATCCCTAATCGGTATGTATGGAAATCACTTTTCATGAATGATATGCTTCATGAGATCTTATCCTTAACATTCAACTGACATGTCATCATTATCATAACTTGTCAGACATAAAATGTAAAAGACCTTAGAATTAACAAACGAGGAGGAAGTTTTGATTTATAGCAAAGCATTTTGAACATGAAACCAACTGTTCTACAAATATAGCAGATTGTTGTTTCACTTAACTGCTTGCCATCTTCTCCTGAAAGGTAAGAGAGGTATAACCGAAGCAGTGTAGATCTCGGTATTACACAACTCAACAACAACAACATACCCAGTAGAATCCCACAAGTGGGGTCTGGAGAGGGTAGTGTATATGCAACCTTACCCCTACCTTATGTAGATAAAAAGATTGTTTCCGATAGACACTCGACTCAGGTAAAGCAGAATCAAAAAAATAAGTGGAACAAATACAGTAGCGAAAAAGCCATGCTAAAAACAATTAAAATAGAACAAGTAGCAACAACAAAATGTACGGTAACTGAAGCAAAGGAAACAATAAGTAACACTAGAATCGAAGAATATAACAGTAGGAGAGTAATAATAATAATATTGGTCGGGGAACTAGACAATACTCGATTACTTACTAACATTCTTCCCTAATCCTTGACCTCCATATCTTCCTATCTAGGGTCATGTCCTCGGTATTACACAACTTGATAAAATCAAAGTCCCTCTGAGCGATATATACGCTACTTTCTTTTGGTTATTGCTATTCTAAACAACAGCAACAAGACTTCTATTATTCCTGTATTCTCTGTTTTTGATTGTTTGTTACATCTTCTTTTGGTTCTAATAGGTTAGCTGGAGCAGCTCTAGTTGCTCCCGTTGTCAATTACTGGTGGCCTAACTTTCCTGCTAATATATCCACAGAAGGATACAATCTACAGCTCCCACAGGACCAATGGGCACTTCGAGTTGCACATTATGCGCCTTGGCTAGTCTACTGGTGGAACACTCAGAAGTGGTTCCCGTGCAATAGTGTTATATCTGGAAAACCCAAAATGTCTCCCCAAGATTTAGAAGTTGTTTCCAAATCTGCTAAGCATTTAAGCAAAAGGCCAAAGCTTAAGGTAATTGGTTTCTTACCTGAATTTGGACAATTTACTGTTAGATTACTGTTACTTCATGATCCCTTGCATGTGTTTGATCCTTGTAATAAATTTACTGGGAGAATTTGTAATAGCTCGGAATTTCGTCCCGGCTCAAAGTGAATTGGAGTTCTATTCCTGCTCGTTTTAAATGTTTCTGTTCTTAGTGAAACATTAGAATGACCACAAGGGGTGAAAAAACCATACAAGTTACAATTTATTTTTTATATATTTGCTTGCCTATGACCACTAGCAGCACGTTGTCTTGCTGTCTGTTCATATTAGTAGTCGCAGTATTGTTCCTGTAGTTTCTTGTCCTTTGATTTCTGTTACTATATGTTGTTCATTGTACCTCGATTATCGTATTGTTTTAATGTAGTTTCTGTCCTGTTACTATATGTTGTTGTTGTTGTTATCATCTGGTGTTTCTTGTACTTCCGTTACTTCTTTTTCGGGACCTCTTTGGACTGTTTTTCCTTGAGTCGAGGGTCTATCGGAAACATTTGTACCTCTGAGATAGGGGTAAGGTCTGCATACACTCTACCCTTCCCAGACTCCACTGAATATGTTGTTGCCTATGATCTGTGGTATTATGTAACATTTTTTCTTGTGGTTTTTGTTATGCTCTTGATAAAGAGCTTTTACGAGCGGAAGTTAAACGTATCCTGCTATTAGGGAGACGAACAATACAGGCAAGGAAGTCAAAAGCGTTTTAGCGTATTTGATTACTAAAAGTAACATAAACTAAGAGTTCTGTTCATATGCTTGTTGCTTAATTATATGATGAGGCATTGTTGACTCAAATGTTGCTCCTTTCATCTATAGGAATATGCTGTAAAACAAGGAGTATTCGAGTCTCTCCACCGTGACATGATGGTGGGGTTCGGAAAATGGGATTTTGATCCTATGGATCTTAAGAACCCTTTCCCAAATGGTGAAGGTTCGGTCCACTTGTGGCATGGTGACGAAGACTGGGTTGTACCTGTTATGTTACAGCGTTATGTTGCAGAAAGGCTTCCATGGATACAATACCATGAAATGCCCAATGTTGGACATCTAGTTATGCATGATCCAGCCATGAATGAGGTTATCTGGAAGACATTTTTGACTGGAGAGGAAGAACAAATAGTGCATTCTTAAAGAGGAAAACTGAAATTATCTATTAAGCAAAATCTTTCTAAATAGTTCTTTGTAAGAATTATGTACATCTTGTAAGAATACCAAACCATTAAAAAATATCCACAATTTTTTATGAAATTATGAAGGAGTTATAATTTGATTGGAATTTGCAACAGAGTTGTTTAGAAGTCTTGAAATGTAAATTATTCAAAGGGTGACATAGTAACTAGAATTTGGACAGAACAAGATACTTGAAGTTTAAAGGGATTCAGAAGTAGTTAATATAAGGCATAATACATAAACATGACCCTTAACTTGGTTTCAACAGACAACTATGCCTTCCAACTTTGAGTGTGCACAAGTATGCACTAGAACTTGTATAAAATTGAACAAGTAGACACACATGTCTCACATGGCATAACCTACCAATCACCAAGCAACCCCCCCCCCACCCCTCTTCACCCCACTACCCCCAAAATCCCATTTGCATAATTATTTATCAAAACATTTAGTCATAATACATAAACATGACCCTTAACTTGGTTTCAACAGACAACTATGCCTTCCAACTTTGAGTGTGCACAAGTATGCACTAGAACTTGTATAAAATTGAACAAGTAGACACACATGTCTCACATGGCATAATACATGTAGGACACAAAATTGCCACGTAGGGTGCCATGTAGGACGAATGTGTCTATTTGTTCAATTTTATACAAGTTTAAGTGTCTACTTGTGCACACCCAAAGTTAAAGGTCATAATTGTCAATTGACGTCAAGTTAAGGGTCATGTTTATGCATTATGATGTTAATATAATATTGTTTTACTTATGCACCGAATACTTGAAAAACATGGAGATACTAAATTTTCTCCTTCAAGGGAATAGTAACTTGTGGTTTCCACATCAAAATAGTTTTTTTTCATAATTGAGAAATAGAGTTACTACCACATAGTTCGAAACATGGTGGATTATTTATCCATTTCTAATTTAATACTAGGCCTTTATTTGCGATAAAGCTAAGATCAAACTTGTGATGTGCGTCTAATTCATTAAAAATATTGCTAAGTACAATAAGGTCCATGTAACTCAATATTATACTATAATAAATAGTAATACACTTTCAATAAAGTATATATATATTATAGTAATACACTTCTAATTACTTAAACATTAGCAATTAGATGAAAACACCAATTCTTTGATTATAATAATTTGTCATTTTTTTTATAATAAAAAGATTTGTACTTTGCTGTCAATTTTTTTCTTCCCTGTAATACATGTTTAGAGGTATAGGACAAGGAGGTGGTGGGAGACGACCACGAGAAGGGTAGGTGGGTGTAAACTTTTTTTTATTAAAAAATAATCCACTATGTAGATTTTAGTAGATATATTTTATTAAATGTATATATAATATATAAAGGTCAATTACATGATGCATTTTATTAAATGTATAATATACAAAAGTCAATTACACGTCAAGCATGTGGAATTTTTTTTTCTTTGTTATTCATCAACACTATATCACCTTCAATTCTACCCACCACCATTATCAATATGATTTTTTTTCTTCATCACCTTCAATTACCCATCACCACCAAACTCATAAAGTTGTCATCACCACCAAATTCAAAAATTAATTAACAATCAAAATTTCTTTAACAAAATCAAAAAAGGAAAAATATAGAAACAATCAATTGAAACTTTTTTAGATAAAATATAATTATTCACTAACAAATCTATGAAAATTAACCTAATTATGAATTAAAAAAAATAAAGAAGTAAGATGAAAATAAAGAATGAAGAAGAAAATGATAAGTGGGTGTGAAGAAGAAGAGACGTAGGCGGTAGGGTTGGTAAACGGATTCTAATTTATTTATTTTTACTTTTATTTCAAACTGATGCGTCTATTTTTTATTTTTGTTTTATTTTTTTGCCACATCAGTTATAGGGCTTGAAAAAAACTCACTTTAAAATAGTATATGTATGTAATAGAGCATTGCGATAATTTAAGTGTGTAACTGATTTTTCGAAGCAAATTTGAGGAATTTATGTCTTTTCCCTTTTAATTATAAAGTTCAACATAAAGCAAAATGAGAATGATAATGTACGCTACTACTTTTCATACCAAATTTGGTTTCTCCTTTCTGTCTCCATTTATTCAAAAGGTAGTTCACCCACCATTATTGACCTCTTCAAAATCTTTATATACTTCTAACAAATTCAATCAAACATCTGTCTTCTCACTCATTAAAGCTCAACATTTCAATATTCTCCCAACAAAGCCATTTAATCATCTTCAAGATTCCATTTTTTTTCATTCCAATTCTAGTCAAGGTATGTTACTGTACAATTTGAATACACCCAATTTGTTATCTTGTTTAGTAGTCAATAAATTAGGTTGAGAACCACGATGTCTCAGGTTCAAACCCCGAGACAAAAACACCAGTTAATTTATTTTCATTTGTCTTAACTTTGTGCAACTTTAGTGGACAGAGTTAGTTGGTACGGTAGAGAGGTGACAACTATACTACTCCTTTCCTTTATTTTTATATGTCATTCCCTTCTGTAAATAGTTGGACTATAATACTTGTCATTTTATAAAATCATTACGTAAATTACCATATTCTTACTATTATACCCTTGATAGAGTAGTTAATTAGCCTTGAAAATATATATTTTGACCTACCTGGGAAATCTAATAAGTAATTATATTCATTGGAGTACTTCATACATTGATTAATTATTCTCTCTCCATTCACTATTCTATAAAATCTGCTTTTGAAAATAAACTCAAAAATTTAAATAGTCATCCAAATGCATTTTAATATTTGAAATCTAGCATATTCATCATTTATTGAAAAGTTGACTTAAGAAAACATTAAATAAGGATAAAATGGTAAAGTTCCTTAATTTCTTAATGCAAGTGCAATCTTAAAATGTGACATATAAAAGGAACGGAGGGAGTATGGAATTAGTGGAGGTGAGCGCAAATTGGCCCACATATAATGATTATAAAAAAAAAATATGAAGAGGAGGAGAATTTTGTTAAAAAGAGGAGAGGGTGTTACAGTAAGTTGACTTTTAGCATAAAAATAATCAAATTGATCAGTTTCTATTTACTGAATTGTGGGGAATGGTTTTAGAAGATTCATGCAACTACATTGATTGAGCAAATGATTTTTACTAAGGGGTTTCAAAATACGAAAAATCAAACATACGAAGATACCTTGACCTTATGTATATACTTCAATCTTTTTGAAGGAGGAAGTTTGGATGAACCCTTGAGGTACCATAGTATTAGAATTATGAGAACGAGGAGGATTAGAGTGGGAATGTAGCCAGTTTTTGCGTGGCTGAGAATGAAATGTCTCTTGGCAAAGACAGAACTAGATTTCGAGTTTATAGGTTCAGGATTCTAGAAAAGATCACAGCTTTATAGTTTCTTGTTTAAGAAATTTATATTATTAAGTGTATTTTCAAATACATTATCATCTCCTTGCCACCTTCTAGGCAAAATCTTTCCAGAAATGTTCTGTTTTCTCAACTAAACCATCAGTATATATCTTAGGTTGCACTATGTCATCTACATATTCCAATAATATTGTAAGAGTTATGTCTACGTTGTGTTCAGGTATGCTCGGGAAAGTTTTAGTTGTCTTGTTGGTTTCAGGTCTAGCATGGGCATTCCCAGCCCTCCTACCTCCACCTCCCAGAATCTGTGGCTCTCCTGATGGTCCAACAGTTACCGGACCTAGAATCAAACTTAGGTATGGAAGACATTTGGCTTATAAGGAGCATGGTGTACCCAAAGAAACGGCCAAATATAAGGTCGTATATGCACATAGCTTTGGTTCTACGAGATATGAGTCAGCTATTGCATCCTTGGTGTGTCATCAACTCTTTGTCAAACTCGTACTTCTGCATCCTTTTTGAGTATAATTGAACTGAGATTATAACGGTTTATTGATGTTTTTTTAGGAAACACTTGAAGAATTAGGGGTGTATGTTGTCTCTTTTGATAGACCTGGTTATGGGGAAAGCGATCCACATCCAAAACGAACCATACAAACTACAGCTTTGGATATGGAAGAGCTTGCTGATCAACTCGGACTTGGCCCAAAATTTTATGTTATGGGGTATTCCATGGGTGGTCATTCAGTTTGGGGTTGCCTTAAGTACATCCCTAATCGGTATGTCTGGAAATCACTTTTCATGAGCGATACGCTTCATGAGATCTTGTCCTTAACATTCATCTGACATGTCATCATTATCATAACCTATCACACACAATGTAAAAGACCTTAGAATCAACAGACAAAGAGGAAGCTTTGATTTATAGCAAAGCGTTTCGAACATGAAACCAACTGTTCTACAGTTACAGTAGATTGTTGGTATTACGCAACTCAACAACAACAACATACCAAGTGTAATTCCACAAGTGGGGTCTGGAGAGGGTAGTGTGTACGCAACCTTCTTTTTTTATGGTTTCTCCTGTGTATACAACCTTACCCCTACCTTATGTAGGTAAAAAGATTGTTTCCGATAGACCCTTGGCTCAAGTAAAGCAGAATCAAAAAATAAGTAGAACAAAAACAATAGCGAAAAAGCCATGCTAAAAACAATTAAAATAGAACAAGTAGCAACAACAAAATGTAAGGTTACTGAAGCAAAGGAAACAACAAGTAACACTAGAATCGAAGAATAAGATAGTAGGAGAGTAGTAATAATAATATTGATAGGGGCCCAGACAATACTCGACTACTTACTAACCTTCTTTCCTAATCCTCAACCTCCATATCTTCCTATCTAGGGTCATGTCCTCGATATTACACGACTTGATCAAATCAAAGTCCCTCTGAACGATTTATATACTACTTTCTTTTGGTCATTGCTATTCTCAACAACAGCAGCAAGACTTCTAGTATTCTCTGTTTTTTATTGTTTCCTACATCTTGTTTTGGTTCTAATAGGTTAGCTGGAGCAGCTCTAGTTGCTCCCGTTGTCAATTACTGGTGGCCTAGCTTTCCTGCTAATTTATCCACAGAAGGATACAATCTACAGCTCACACAGGACCAATGGGCACTTCGAGTTGCACATTATGCGCCTTGGCTAGTCTACTGGTGGAACACTCAGAAGTGGTTCCCGTACAATAGTGTTTTATCTGGAAAACTCAAAATGTCTCCCCCAGATTTAGAAGTTGTTTCCAGATCTGCTAAGCATGCAAACGAAATGCAAAAACTAAAGGTAATTTACTGTTATATTGCTGTCACTTCATGATCCCTTCCATGTGTTTGATCCTTGTAATAAATTTGCTGGTAGAATTTGTAATTGCTTGGAATTTCGTTCCGACTCATAGTAAATTGGAGTTCTATTCTTGCTCGTGTTAAATGTTTTTTCGTTATTTTTTTAAAAATTTAGTGTTAAATTAGGTCTTAGGCCTAACTCGCACCCCAAAAGCTAGCCCATGAGGGGAGAATTACCCAAGTCCATATAAGGAATCTACCCATCTCATTACCACCAATGTGGGACTTTTGTCATTCTTCAACGTCCCACCTCACGCCTAGTGCTTAGCATCTGGTGCATGGACAATTTTTTATTTTGGGGGCCCAACATTAGGTGAGATGGGCTCTGTTCAGATACCATGTTAAATGAGGTCTTAGGCCTAACTCACACCCCAAAAGCTAGCTCATGAGGGGAGGATTGCCAAAGTCCATATAAGGAGTCTACCCATCTTATTAACCACCAATATGAGACTTTTGTCATTCTTCAACGGTTAAGAAGACCCTCATTGGTAGAGGGATGAGAAATTGGTCTCCTTATATGGACTAGGACAAACCTCCCCCATGAGTTAGACTTTGAAGTTGAGTTAGGCCCAGGTGCTATATCTTTACATGGTATTAGAGCCAAGTCTATCCCCATGTGGACTCTTGATCCACGCTTCAGTTGGGCCTGGGTGTGAAGGGGGTGTTTGAGTTAAAAGTCTCATATTGGTTGGGGAATGGATGGGTGGTCTCCATATATGGACTTGGACAATCCTTCTCTTATGAACTAGCTTTTGGGATTGAGTTAGGCCCAGGTACCATATTTTTTCATGATATCAGAGTCAGGCCCATCCCAATTTGTTGTTCATCGATGTTGTGCCTCCATCTATAAGTATTCACGTTCCAGTTGTTGTTGTTCACCAATGTTGGGCCCCCATTTATAAGTGTTCACTCTCCAGTTGAGTTTTGAGGGTGTTTTAAGAAGTCCCACATCGGTAGAGGGATGGACAATTGTCTCCTTATATGGACTTGAACAAATTTCCCCTCATGAGCTAGCCCTCGAGGTTGAGTTAGGCCCATGCGTCATATCTTTATGGTTAGAAGGACCACTAGGGGTGAAAAAACCATACAAGTAACAATTTTATATTTGTTTGCCTATGACCACTAGCAGTGTGTTGTATTCTGTTCATATTAGTAGAAGTAGTAGTGTACTTGGTAACTTCCCATACCCACTCAGTATGTTGTGCCTATGATCTGTGGTATATTGTCTTGGGTTGTTTGTTATGCTCCTGAGGAAGAACTTTTTCATCTGAAAGTGAAAAGTATGTTGCTACTAGGGAGACGAACAATACAGACCGGGAAGTTAAAAGTGTTATTGCGGAATTGATCACTAAAGTAACACACAACTAAGAATTACGTTCATACGTTATTGCATATGTGATAAGGCATTGTTGGCTCAAAAGTTTCTGTTTCTTTCATCTGTATCTGTAGGAATATGCTGTAAAGCAAGGAGTATTTGAGTCCCTTCACCGTGACATGATGGTGGGTTTCGGGAAATGGGATTTTGATCCTATGGATCTTAAGAACCTTTTCTCAAATGGTTCGATCCACTTGTGGCATGGTGATGAAGACTGGGTTGTGCCTGTTATATTACAGCGTTACGTCGTAGAAAGGCTTCCATGGATAAACTACCATGAAATACCTAATGTTGGACATCTAGTTATGCATGATCCAGCCATGAAGGAGGTTATCTGGAAGACATTTTTGACAGGAGAGAAAGAACAAATAGTGCAGTCTTAAAGAGGAAAAATGAAAATTACTTGTGAGAAAAATCTTTCTAAATTGTTCTTTTTTTGATTCCCAACTATACATTCCAATATTATTGTAAGAATTATGTCCACCTTGTAATTGTTAAAAATATGCACAATTTTTAAAAATTGTTTTTGGCGTTTGTCTCAACTCTCAAGTGACTATAGAAGGAGATGCAGTTTGATTGCAACACATTTGTTTAGAAGTGTCTTGAATTATGACAGAAAGTAGAATTTTGACAGAAGTAGAACACAAAAAAATAAATAAGAAATTTACTTATTTTTCTGAAAAATATTTTTCAAGAAAATATTTTCTTCATACCAAACACACCTTCACGAAAAAACATCAAAATACAAAATTTTCAGTTTTTTTTTTTCATAATTGAGAAATAGAATCGAAACATGGTGGATTATGGGTCCGCTCATCTATCCTTTTTTTCTTGTTTTGGTTTAAAATGTTGCAAGTACAATAGGATATATGTAACTCAATAAATTATACTAGTAAATAATAAATATACTTTCAATAAAGTAGATATAATATTAACACTACTCAAGAAGGAAAACAGACAACATTTAGTAAGGATTGCTACTACACAAACAGCAAGAAACAGATCATTTGAATTCTCCACACTTGTTGAATTTAAAAGATATTTTGACATTTAAAAAAAAAAGAGGAAATTTTTAGGACTTTTATTGCATTGCTCAAAGATGAGAGTACACAACTAAACTAAGCTACAAGCAAAAGCTTTGAGTTCAAATTTTATCCAAACTTAAAAAAACCAGTTTAAAATTGCATCCCCATTTCTTAAGGCAAAGAGGGTGCAATACTTGGATCTCGTGGAGTTGTGTCGATTACTTAAACATTAGCACAAATAAACTTTTGCTATTTTACTTGGGCAAACCAGTTTCAAGGCAGAGGAGAGCCTGACTTTCGTCAGGTAGCAAAACTGGACCTCTGCCAGGTCTTGTGCAGATGAAGTAGCTTATTTCACCTTTGCATTTCTGAGCCGGAACCTTGTCCTTAATTTCAGGTGGAGGTGGTAATGCTTCCACGTCGTTTAAATCCTGAATCCCAGCATCCTTCAGAATTGACTTATCACCTATGACATAGCTGGAGAGAAAGGAAAAAGAACAATAAGGAGCAGTGAAGATGGTCAATGGTTGCATATTGATAGCACAAGGTCCAGAATGCATATCATGGCGGGGTGTGTTTGTATGGAGTAGAATATGCATATCATGGCGGGGTGTGTTTGTATGGAGTAGAATATGCATATCATGGCGGGGTGTGTTTGTATGGAGTAGAATATGCATATCATGGCGGGGTGTGTTTGTATGGAGTAGAATATGCATATCATGGCGGGGTGTGTTTGTATGGAGTAGAATATGCATATCATGGCGGGGTGTGTTTGTATGGAGTAGAATATGCATATCATGGCGGGGTGTGTTTGTATGGAGTAGAATATGCATATCATGGCGGGGTGTGTTTGTATGGAGTAGAATATGCATATCATGGCGGGGTGTGTTTGTATGGAGTAGAATATGCATATCATGGCGGGGTGTGTTTGTATGGAGTAGAATATGCATATCATGGCGGGGTGTGTTTGTATGGAGTAGAATATGCATATCATGGCGGGGTGTGTTTGTATGGAGTAGAATATTTCCATAAAACAAGTCATTTTCTGGTGTTTGGTTCCATTCATAATTATATCAACTCTTAACTTTATAACACTGTTTTAGCAAGCACTAGCCACATAATCAATCTTTACTACTCAAAAAAATTGTCAAAACATTATCAGCAGGTTAATAATAATATTATCCATCTTTAGTAAATGTTCTATTTTGGAAAATATTTACCACCCTCAAACCACACACTGGGAAACATTTCCTTGGAATATTTTTCTAAAGAATAAGTCACTTTCCAGAAAACATTTACTCGAACATGACTTCCTCATAGTTATATTAGAACTTCGAATCTTTTATATGCAGAATACCTGTCTAGATCGGTATCTGAGTTTGGAGGGAAGTGGAAAAGAAGCCTCTGAAGCATAAGTGCGGCAGCCTTTCTGTTACGTGCAATCAGAACAGCATTTGGCCCAGCATCGAAGGTGTATGCAACCTGGAATATTCTAATGTTTAGTAAAAATGGAATATGCATTTATTTCAAGCTACATTTCACCTACTTTTGAAGTCAAACTTGCACCATCAGATCATGAGAAGCAAAATGTGAGCTGAGATATTTGTTGGCAACAAGCTAATTATAGTGTTCAAAAAGGTATGAAATAAGTCTGAAAGTTGCTTGTTATAGTGTCAAGATACTGGTGCAGTTGATGTCATGTCATTACCGTCAAAACTAGCTCAAGAAGGAAAAATTTCAATGTTTGGGTGCATCGCGAAGTTCGCAAAATCTTCAGCACAAAAAGGTGCATGAAGTTTATGGGATAGGGGTATGTCATGAAGGAAGCACTCACTGCCCATTACAAATATAAAAGCAGATTTCCTGAAAAGGCATGTGCCCGTTTGGATTGACTTATTTTAGGTGCTTTTAAGCCAAAATAGCTTTTAAGCAGTTTTGAAGTGTTTGGGTAAACTTAAAAAGTGCTTATAAGCACTTATTTTAAAGCCAAAATAAGCCAAAAGCCATAAGTTAGAAATCCTAACTTATGGCTTTTGGCTAATAAGTCATAAGCCAAAAGCCAATCCAAACAGGCCCGATCATTGTTCTGTTTAAAATAACTTGTGTCCACTATTTTGGGTCAAGTACAAATTTGAGTGACCAATTTAACCTGCAGAACTTTGATATTTCAAAAGGTTGAAAATCTTGGTGACCCGTTTTATTACTTTAGTAAAAAGAAGAAGAACCATATCATGCATTTATCTATTAGGACAATAGTAGGATAACGTTTTAAACCTGTGGAGTTCCTTCTGCACGGTTCCATTTCTCGACACAGCTAATTACCCTGAAAAGTTAACACACCGTCAAGACTTTCTTGTTTCTCCCACTTTCAGTATAAGAGATCATCAGGTTCAGAACTTATCTATGTTACAACACAACTCAAGATACAGCCTGAAGTTAAGACAACTTGCCTATGAGATGTGTCATTCATGTAGAATATAGGAGGGCTAGTGTCCATGCAGACTGCATGAAATTGATTGCTGTCAGAACAAGTCAGTTGAGCAAAAGTTGGAAAATCACGATTTTTTATAGCTTCTTCCATCTGAATAATGCGTTTTGGTACTACTTCCTGAAAATGCAACACAAAATGATAAAAGTCAAAACTTTTGATACAATATTTACCAACTGACCAGAGGTTAAATTAACAGAGATAATGAAAATAAGCTGGAGATTTTCGAGAATATTGATTGAAGATGTGTCAGAACTACAAAATCCTAATGTAGAGAGTACAAAGACAATACCTTTGCTCTGTGTTCTATAAGTGCACTGGTTACAACAGTCTCACGCATTCCTGAGGTGCTACTTGTTTCCTTCTGCCGTGAGCTAACCTGAGTACAGCACATAATAAAAGAATTAAACAGGAAAAAATCAGGAGGCACAAGTTGACAAATTAGTGTCGTAATCAAACTGATAGCATGATCATTTACGTAGGCATCTTATTTAAGAAGATGATGCAAGTAAAGTTTAGAATCCTGTTTATTTATGGAGTTGAAAACAGAAAATACACCCAAAAAACTGATCCGGTGATCAACATTTGTGTAATCTTGACTAAACTTCATTGATTCATAGTCAAGAATTATGAGTTACTGAAAGTAGCTTAAAGTTGCTATTGGGGATCTAGGAAGCAGTATAGCAATAGATAACCATTCGAAAAGAAAGAACTAAGATATGCAGAACAAATAAATGAACACAAATAAGTGGCATTTTTAAAGTTAAGGAATTAGTTAGCAAGAAACGAAAGCAGAATACTCTTTTTCTCTTCCAACTTCCCAGCATAGCAGTATGACTCGAAGAAACTTGGATTTCTAGAAAACGGGGTTCCCCAAGATCTAAAACTTGAATGAGGGGCTCAGTATAAGAATGAAACAGAAACCAAGTTCTTCTCTACAACCTTATTCCCAGAAAAATGTTCTCCTTTAAGTCTGAAGGGCAGCAGTTCCAATGGGATAGATTCGGTTTCTGTTCCACTTATTATTATTATTACCGAAAACCACTGATGCACAAAAGTAATGCAATGACAAGTATCATGTTTGGAGAAAGAACTAGATGGGACAAGTACAAGAATAACATGAAGACAGATTCTCGAATCTGGATAGGAGAAACAGACATAAACACAGATCCTTTCTTCCTTCTCAATGCCTAACAATGACATGAATAGACAAGCTTTCCAGAAAAAGTGAATAGCAATCACATCTGGATGGGAAGTACATACCACTGCAATGATGATAACAAGCTCATCCCAGTGTTTCTCGTCTACGAGTGGAACAGCTATGCTATCGCTACCATCTTCCTCCTTCACACATCACAAAAGGAATTAGACCACACTGAAAAGATAGAGAGCATGTTGAGACAAGCTACAACACAAGAATGTAGGAGCTCGACATACCTTTCCCATGACCCACTTGACAAATCCTCCAAACAAGCTTCGACAAGCACTTCCTGAACCTTGCCTGTGTGGGAGTAAGTGAAGTGTGTCAGTTTCTTATTTTTCATAGCTATTGAATGAGCAGATGAAAAGAGAAAGTAAGATCAAGAAGAATCAGTTTGATATGCTGTTACCTCGATCTAACTTTAGTCTTCTAGACAAAACATATATAAAAATAAGACCAGCTAACGAAATATTCAGAACCGATATGAATCTACCTTGCTATGGCAGAAAGTCTCCCATTGTCCTCTTGCACATTCATTAACTTCGCAAGGGAAAAGACTGCATATCGGAGACATAAGTTGTACTCATCTCAAAACTTTCAGAAGGAATGTAATAATGGATAAAATAGAGATTCGCACAAGAAAGAAACATTCACTTGGAGAAAAGCATTTTCAAAATTACTCTGAAGATGAATTCTTAAGAAGGGCTGACATAATACACAGGTCATAAATTTCGTGATGACAGTTTATTATCCTTACAGACAAGGGTCAAAGAAGATAACATATTTAAAATACGGCAACATCAATTAGAATCCAAAGAAACTCAAAAACACGAATAAATGCA